TAGAGTCTTCACTCTTCTGTATTTTTGGTGAATATAGATATGTTCAGCATGTTTTGACCAGTTTCTCGTGTTGTTTTCAAGGCTTTCATGAAATTAAAGGTCCCTTTAGAAGTACACAATTTTGCTCTTCAGCTTCTTATCTTTTCTAGGGAAAATTTTGTGTTTTCCTCCTGCATGTGATGGCATATAATTGAATAGGGGGATAGTATATAAGGAATTTTTTCTTAAATGAGTGTTTTTTCCACCCAGTAGAATGGATTTATTTATATTCAATTCAAGAGTGTTACAATGATAATTAATGCCAAAAGAATTTACAATAGAACAATTAATATATCACTACTGCATAAGATGCATTTAACCTAGCAATACCATGTATCTAGGGTAAATAGAAAAATAGACATTAAAGAAGCGCTTTTGACCGAAAATATTTCTATTTCAACAGTTTTATATTTTACTGGAATTGTTGCTATAGCAGAGATTTTTTAGGAGTGGTTCTTCAAGTTATTTTCTGAAGATGGAATCCTTTATCTTTTTTCTTTCCAGAAAATGAATATATTAAAGCGAATCAACGATGGATGGCAGTATATGCAATTTCTTTCAGTCATAATAAAATGTTAATGTACAAAAAAATATCTTATCCCTCTTTTTATACCTTGTCTTTGGTGTGGTAGAATGCATGAAACTATTGTGTCCTATCAAGTATCGTTGATAAATCCATTTTCATTAAGATTATATTAGGATATAAATTATAGTTCGTGCTCTCCGTTTTAAAATCCTATCATCAAATGTACATATTATGCTATTTCTTACAATAATCTCTGTTTGATATTCATTTTATCAAGCTTTGCTTCAATTAAATTTTTCAAGTGTAACTTTTATGTCCTGAAATTGAATTAAATCTATTAATTTATTTTTAAATTTTGCTGTGCAGATTGTTAATAGGATTCAGAAGTTACGGAAGAAAGTTGCTCTTGAACCTACTGACATGGTGGAGGTTTACTTTGAATCATTAGATGGTGACAAATCAGTTTCTCAAAGAGTTTTGCACTCACAGGTAAGAATTAGATATCAATAAATGACTTTGAAATACCATGCTTATGTACTCCACGTAAAGCATTGCTGGACAGATGCTTTGTTTATACTATCAACATGCAGATTGAACAAGTGAAAAAACTGAACTACTATCAATTTTATTTTTTTTAAATATAGTCAGAAAATTCTAGTTGAAATAAATTAAAAGTTGAATTACTTTCAGAATAAAATGACATGGGAATTTTTTATAATGATTTTTACCTATTTAAAAACCTAAAATTAGAATTGTCAAATACTATTTTTGATATGCAACAACTAAATGTCAGATTTATAACAATTGCTAATCTTTTTATTATTTTTTTTATCCCAAAGAAAAGCGATCTAACCTAAAATTATCAATTTTGTACCATCCAGGTAAAAAACTAAATCATTGAGTATCCAAATATGATGTTAAACAACTAAAATTCACAAATATTTTAATAATATAAACAAATAGATTTCAAAACTACAATAACCCAACAAAAAATTTCAAATGAATTGTCAAATAATGCGATGTAAATCCTGTAAGATAAGTCTTGAAGATTGAAGATGACAGCTGATGATATTTGAATCTCACACCCACTATGAAAAGTCCAAATTCACATTTATCGTGCATTTTTAAGAACTGTGAAAATCAAGTTCAATTCTTCGCAATATTTACCAATGATTCTAAACACCAAGAATAAGAAATAAAGAAATAAAGAGTTTAAACTAAAAAATCCCCAATTTGTAAGGCATAGGCATTGTAAGGAAGCTATAAAAAATACGAGTATCTAATTTCCAACACCCACACAATCCATTACTCATCTAATTTATAAAATAACTCCTCTGGATATATGAAGAGCTTCACACAGTGATTATTTGGGATGGGTAATGTTCCTTTTAACTCAATTCACCTTCTCCATACTTTTATGCCTCATGGGTGTAAGGAGTTTTTAAACAATGGACAGAGATAAGAATGTGAAGATGGGGGCGGCAAGGAGCAGCTTGGGGATTAGAAAAATTATAGAGAATGGTGTGGGGAGGGGTCTTGGGTGCTATAATGAAGATGAGAGGTTATTTTTTCTTTGGTGCATTTATTATACACATGAAAGAGCTCTTTGCATATCCTTTGTGTGGCTTTGCTCTAATCTTCATTATTCGCCACCCAAGAATTTTTTTGTTCTCCTTGTGTGGTAGGAGGTTTACTGCAATAAATACATTATTTGTGTGAATAATTTTGATTCTAGTGAAGACTAATATTGTACACATTTATAGATGCGCACGAACAAGACATTTTCTCTAGCACAATTTCTTTGTTAAACATGGATGTGGTTCTTCTATGCATGAGATGCATCATTCGTTTTGTGCTGGGTATAGTTGAACTATATTTCTTGTTAGGGACAACTTTGTAATCTGATTATCTTTTATCATGTATATTTTGCAGGAATCCTACATCAGGGATGCTATTGGTTCTCCGTTGCTTCCAAATTCTCTGATGCCTGTACATGCAGTAAGTGGTTTATTTTGACCTTATTGGGGTTGGATGTTTTATTCTTTCTATTAATGTGAATGAGATTACTTTACTTTTGTTGATATATGAGATGCCTTGAGTTTAAATGTATTAATTGAAAATAAAACAAATCCTTTTTGCACTAAGTTAGGTTCTATTGAAAATACACGTGGAAAAATAATATTTGTGCCTTAACTTTCTGTAGCTCTATTTTATGCTACAAAGCTTTTTCCTTGGTGCAAGGGTCAATTGTAATTTTGCCTATTTGCCTCACTCGATGGCTTTAGTTTTTTTGTCCATACATTAGCATGTATTTTTTCTCTATGGTTATTAATGCAATTTGGAAAAATTTGTTTATTGGAATATTTCTGAAACTCTTCTTTGCCAGAATTAAATATTTTATCAGTAATTTTAAAATGATTAAACTGAGAACAATCCATTGTGTACTGTATTTTGTTAATCTGTAGTTTACCTGGCCTATATCATATTGGTGGATATGCTGTTAGCCTCGAGGGCATTGTGTTTCTTTACAAATCAGTCACGTGTCTTGGTTTCAAGCTACTTCATCTAATATTCTTTGAACAACTGCAGGTTGTACTTGGCGAAGAGAGGTTCCATGGGATAGCCGGCATGTCATTTGGTATCACTTTGACGAGACCTGCATTGATGTTTAACACAAAAGCCATTCTTTTACTGTTTACAGGTTTGTTTTCTCAGTTAAGCTAATATATCCTCCCTTGCCGAAATAAACAGTACTTTGATTCCCTGGCATCATCTGTGATCTTCAGTTCTTCGACTTACTGTTCCATTGTTACAGGTGATGCAAGAAGTGCACATAATTTGCAAACTTACCTGCTATCAAGAGATCATTCGAAGTTGAAGTCCGAGTTTCAAGATGGAAATAGAAAGGTTTGATTGAGTTATAGTCTTGTCTTCGATTTAGTTATCGGTGGAAATATGCACATTCATTTTTTCCCTGTTGCAGAAAATTATTGATTCAATTGAACAGCTACCTGCTGTGGACGTGGTTCTTGGTGAGCATGTTTTTCTCACTGTGGGGGACTATAACCTTGCTGGAAAATCTTGACTGATTTCGTTCCAAGAGTTCCTTTTTGATATTTTATCCAGTTAGCATGCTATCTGTTTTCAAGATTAGGAACATCGAATATTACCCAGGCATGCCTAATTGTAATGGGTGAGCAATTGACAATCATCATTCTTTTTCTGTATAGAGAATCTCACATCTTATTTATAAGATAAAAGCAGGTTTTTATTGATGTAATCCTTGATAATTCCAAGTCAATGATTTTGTCACACTTAATTCCTTAGATTGGTTTATTTTCACCTGCACCACATTAGTTTCGTCAGTTGGATAGGAAGGGGTACTCCTTGGTTGTCTATTGAATATGGTACCACTAATTTAGCTCATGTTGCACCATTGTGTTTGTATTGAAAATTAAATTACCAAACTGGGTATATTTTTAAAGAAATTGAATGATAAATTACGATCTAAGACATTATTTTTGAAGAAGAGAAGTTGTTTTGTGTTTCAAAATATGATTTTATATAATCTTTTCGTTAATTTATACATGAAAGCCGCGATTTATGAAATGTTTTGTAACACGTATCTTGCGTATTTTGGTTAACTGACATTCCTTTCGATGGAATATTTGCTACTGATTGGTAGCCACCATATAATTTATGGATGAGGCAGTCAGATACATCACCCAATAGATCATGATTACCTACTACTAATTTGAATGAAAAATTATCAAATCGAAGAATTAAAGAAATAGAAATCATGTTTACGTACCCACTTTTAAAAACATAAGGAAAAAAAACAATTCTTTGAATAAAATTGAAAAACAAAAGTAAAGTTATATTTTAAAATTCTGTCGTATTAACAAGACTTACAGTTAGGTAGTTATTAAAAATGTACTTATCTCGGTCAATTTTAAAAAATCCTACTTGCATAAAACTCCCGCGTTTCTTATACAAAATTTTAGCACAAAAGCTATATTAAAAATTTATGTAACATATAATTAGAAATTAAAAAAAAAAAAAAAAACAGTTAAACATCACGCAAAGTTTCATGCAAATTTAAACTACAACATGTTTTTCGCAACAAAATGATAATCATTTTAGACGAGCGTTGGGTCAAATCTCTGACCACCGATAAATGGCAATAGAGCATACTTTTAGAATGATGATGCAGAAAACTATGTCAACGTCTAGTTCACTCACTAATTTTAAGCCGGAAAAAGCCTAGCTATGGAGAAATAAAGGTCTTCAATATTCATGTTTAATAGTAGGGGGGGTTCGCGTCGTAAAATCTGAGTATAGACGAACTCAATGAAACCTAACATCAAGTACATGCTAATTAGCAATTAAAGAAGTTGAAGGATCACAGATATTTTTTTTGAAGGAGTTGACCAACTCAACTAGAAGAAGCTGCTTCCTTATAATCCTCTGTCTCACTAGTTTCACCTTCATGAAAGCTTGGAGCTTTCGGGATAAGTCCAAGAACTTTGAACATGAGTTGATCAGCATCAAAGTCATTGTTAGGTGTAGTGAGAAGCTTTTCACCAGTGAATATGGAATTTGCACCAGCAAGAAAGCACAATGCCTGCTCAGGCATGGAGAACCGGACTCTGCCAGCTGATAATCTGACCATTGCTTTTGGCATTATGATACGTGCTGTGGCTATCATGCGAATCATCTCCCATATTTCAACAGGCTGAAAATATTGTAGATATGTCATAGAAAATTCAAGCCAATGTGACAGCAATTTGAGTAAACTGGTATATAAGGCGCAGAAGTCAGTAAGTTTGAAGCAATGCCCGATGATGCATCAATCCTCATGGTCTAAAGGCAACCACAATGATACAACTTTGATGCCTGTTAGTTAGTTAGTTAAAATTATTCATTGCAATTACATCCTACACAAGATACAGATATATATAGTCATTAAAACGCTCGAAGGTTAAGGGAAAATATTGGAATGAAAATCCTAGATAAACAATATCTGACTGGTCTAACATAAACATAAAACCTAGCCTCTATCATATAAATCTGGGAATAGCACCAATTATTCAAGTATGAAGTGATGTATCACCTCCCATCAAATTAATTAGGCTCCACCTTCTCTTATACATCATTACCATTCAAACCACACAACAAGGATATTGTCACTGGCTGATAACTGTTAACTGTTAATTTTACTACACATACCCACTCTCCACTTGTCATCTCAACAAATTAAATGTTGGCTTACGATCTTCACATTCCTGAAAGCCACTACATAAAAGGTGTCTCCAGAGAGACTAATTTCATAACTAAATTTTCATTTTTAGATATAAACTAGACTCAACCATAAACTCAATCCGAAATTCAAGACAATAAGGTGATTATTTTTCTTTGCTTTTATTTTAGTTTAATAATTCAAGTATTTAATGAATTCACCTTCTGATTCTCAAGAGGGGTTCCCTTCACAGCAACAAGTGCATTAATAGGAACACTCTCTGGATGGGTGGGAAGTGTTGACAATGTATGTAACAGACCTACACGGTCCTCCTCTGCTTCTCCAAGCCCTATAATTCCTCCTGTAAATAATTCTCAGCTGGTCAGACCATTGTAAGAAAAATAACCCTCCTTATCGTGATGAGATATTTTATTGCATATATATCATATATTCATCACCAATAATGGATGGCTCAATCATTGCTTAGGTTGATGAGAAAAGATAAACCATAAATTCAGGTTAATTTTGAATAGATACAAAGCAAAGTTTAGATTTGATTGCTAGTGATGTCATGGTTGAGTCGTTAAAAAAATTTTGCTCCCCATAAGATGCTTAGTTAAACATAGCTTTAAGGGAAGAGATAGAATTTGTGGCATAAAACCTGCTAAAAGATTTAAAGAATTGAAGTCCATTAGACATCATTATACTGCTGTGAATGTCTATTCTCAAGTAACTATAATGTCACCAAAGTAAACAAAATAAGGTATTAAGGTTCACTCCGATGTTAGAAATACTGTACCAAAAAATCCTCATGCTCCTTAGAAAGATCTGATTCGTACCTTGTTCAATTCATCTATAAATTAAATAAATGTAACTAGGTATACATTTTTCAAATTTTCAAAGTCCAAGCTAACATTTTGAATTGTTTTCATTCCCAAAAAAGTAATCAATTTGAAAAACAGTGAAAGAAGAGTTCATAATTAATAAGATGTTATAACTATGGAATAATGAGAGAATAACTGCAATATTACATTCATCTTGATGAATATAATATAGACTAAAAGTTATAGCACATTACTAATAAGTTTATTACATTATAAGTTAATATAATTACCAGAACAAACATTGATCCCTGCATCACGAACGAACTCAAGTGTTTTTAGGCGCTCATCATAAGTCCTTGTTGTGATGATGTTTGGATAATATTCCCTTGAAGTGTCAAGATTGTGATTATAGGCTGTGAGACCTGCCTTCTTGAGTTCATGAGCCTGCTGTTCCTCCAGCATGCCAAGGGTGCAACAAACCTCCATTCCCATTTCCCTGGAATAAGACAGATACCCTTCTATTATGTATTTAACAAACAAATCCAAATAAGAAGACTTATCTGGTTATCAATTCTGTAAAAAAACTGAGACATAAAATAATGTTGCATTACCTTATGTCTTTCACATATTCAAGGATCTGGTTAAAGTTGGTCTTTCTTCCAAGTGTATCCCTCCAAGCAGCACCCATACAGAAGCGAGTGCTCCCAGCCTCTTTAGCCTGCAGAAAAAGGATTATCCATTCAAGAAAAAAGCATGACCCCACATGAGCAAGAGATACGAAGCAAAGACATGTTTGAAATGAATACATAACACGTATCCATTCCATGGTGTCATTTGAGAAGCAGATTCGAGTTTTCCAGAGATCAATAATGACATCACAAGGCCAAATGCTAGAGACCAATAATGACATCTGAGAAAAAGTGTACCCGCTTTGCAGACTGGAGAACAGCTTCCTTGTTCATAAGGCGCTGCCCTTTGATTCCGGTATCATACTTAGAAGATTGAGGACAATAGGAACAATCTTCACTGCACCCTCCTGTTTTGATAGACAGAAGAGTACATTGCTGCACTTCCCTGAAGTTATGAGCATGTCTGTGAACTTGAGCCTGACAAACCAAATCACCCCAACAATAGAAACAAAATCGTAGTAAGATTACAACAATTTTGATCATGCAAGTATTATACTGCGAGTGTTCAATAAATAATCCGATAATCAATAGGTCCAACACTATCCACTAAAATAGACTCCAACACTATCCACGATACTTTGAACAAAAAGAATGGGCTTCCCTTATCAACTTAACAATTGAAATAAAAAATTTTAAAAGTTTTTAGCAGGAACCATTAAAGCAAAATTAGTAAGAATTACCCCATGAAAGAGAAGATCGAGCACGGGGGAGTCGTAGATGGATTTGACTTCGTCTCGGCTCCAATCGTTTCGGGGCCCATCTTTGATTGTTCTCTCAGCTTGAATTGCAGCCGCAGAGGCAGAGGAATAAGCGTGGGAAGAGTGCAACGCCCAAAGGGAAGGTCCACGGAAAATGGGTCTCGTCAAAAACATGTTTTTACTTTGGAATTCGAAGTTGGGCAGAAGCAAATCTCAGTGTTAGCTGGAACCAACAGAAGAGAGAGAATGTAGATGGAAAGGTGAGTAGAGAGATCTTTGAATATTAAGAAAACAGAGAAGAGTTTTTGGTTCCGGTTTTGGTTTCGGAGTTTATAGTGGGAGTGTTTTTTTGAGGGCGTAAAGTTCGACTCATTCCTTCTCTCTTCCAAGTCGGAGAGGGAGCAGAAGCTGCCACTTCACCTACCTACCCAATAATGCATCATCCCATCCATCATTTTAACTACTTTTTTTTTTTTTTTTCTGTAGAACTTCAAATTAGGAAGAAAAATAATATCTTTGTTAGTATCAATGATTAACATTATTATACACTAATCAGTATATTTACTTATTGAACGTAATATTAAAAAAACAATTAATATTATTATTTTATACAAAAATATTATAAAGACAACAAATGAAAATCATAATTCAAATAAATTAATAAAAATTATTTGTGGAAAAAAAAAAGACATGGGTTAATAATTAATTTCTTATAACTCGAATTTCGGTATATCAAAAGGAAAATGCTTGAAAATTTATTAGGGAATAAAATAATTATTTTATTATGAATCTATATAATAAAAAAATCAAAGTTATTTATACAATTTTTTTTAATTTGAAATAAATTATATATAAATTTATAATAAAAAAATATTTTTATTTCTAAATACTATTTTTAAAATGTTCTTAAATTTTCATTAAAATTTATTTGAGAGCTTTTATAAATATGGTGGCGAAGTTAATATATAACAAAATTAAAATCAACTATTTTGTAAAGGATTTTAAATGATCTTTTAAGAAATAAATTAAAAAATAGATAAAATATGTTTTTAGTTTTTATATTTTTAATTTATCCTTGTTTTTATATTTTTAAATTAATAAATTTAATCTTAACTTTTAAACACATTACTCTAATTTTTTTATTTAAAGTTAAACAACACAGATTTAATAAAAAATTAAATTCATGTGATTTTAATTATTTTAATTTAAGTTTAATTTGTAAATATTATAAAAAGTTAATAAAAAACTAAATTCACTTTTTTTAATCTAGAGATTAATTAATCAAATTCTAAAATAGAAAGAATAAAACTAAATTTGACAAAAAATATAAAATATATTTAATTCAACTAAAAAATATAATCCCAAACAAAACAGTTTACTAAACCTGTAAGATATGCTTTCACGTTAAACACGATTAAATTTTTAAAAGGGAATTATTCGAGGAAATAATTTATTTTAACCAAATTAGAACAAAAAAAAACAAATATGGACATATATGCATTTTAATCACAAATAAAACTAATAACAGCAAAATAGACACACCTGTGTAAGTAGGAGGTGAGTTTCGTACCAGATTAGGTTTTCTCTCTTTCTCTCTCTGATTCGATCGATTTTGATTGTTGAATTCATCCCATCGCAGAGCCTTCAAATTTGAAGTTGTATGTTGTTTGGACTCGATCTGAAGCTGATCAATCAAATGTATCACGCGATCTAACTTCGAATTGTCGTTTGTGATTGTAGGAACAACGATGATGGTGCCTCTGCTTAGTGCTTTGATTCTTTTTGCTTTTATTCCAAATGGATTGTTAGCAGTTCCTTCCACCGTCCCCGCATTCCTTTGGTCATCACATTATGAACTGTAATTCCTGATTCTCTTACTCGTGTTTGTGTCGATTCATAGTTCGTACTTTCTTATACCATTGATCTCTACTTGATATGTTCTATGCTGTATGAATCGTGTGGATGCGGCTAATAGCAAACAACATAGATTAATTTATTGCCGAGCTTGTTATCGGCTTTTATAATCAAGACAGGTAGGGCTAATCTGAAAGCTAAAGGAATAGGGGATTTCGGTTTTGTTGGACGAAGGAGTTTGGGTATTCTACGGTTTTAATGATGTGTATGGGAAGTGTGGCTGGCCTATAGAAACCGCAAGTTCAAAAGGTTACTGGACGGAAAAAAATCAAGGGCGGAATTGAAGTAGTGAAAGACCTACACTTCATTTTTAGGTTTTCCACTGGCATTACATTCGCTTCGGTTCATAAGTAAGAGATATATTTTCTAGATCATTCAAGAAAACTGCAGATGTGGTGTAGTTCCGGGCTTTGAATTTTGTGGAATTGAAATCTAGAATGAAAGATGAAAAGTGGAAAATATGAACAGGGATAAAATGAAAATTGTTGGTAACATATGCAGCATTCTTATTTAATTCTTATTGTCTTTAATTGCTGCTGACAACATCTTTAAATTGCATGATACTTCTATTACATGTAGGAATCGGTTTGTGTATTGTTGTTGAATATTCCTTCACATGTTCATATTTTATACTTCAGCAAATAATAAAACCGTTTATATCTTACTGGACCATTACAGGGCCTCTGAAAATGCATTGAAGGAATCTATAAATTACCAAGTCATTTCTCCATATGATCTGGCGAAGTCTGTTATAACTGAAGCGGGCTGGTCAAAATTTCTGGTATTATCTTAATCTTCATGACTGGTTTTCGCTATGTACTCTGTAGTTCTTTCTCTCCCCTCAACCTTTATAAGAAGTGAATATTTTTCTGTTTCTATTTATGATATCCTTGTTTCAATTTTGTTCAATTTATTTCTATCATTGATATTGCTTATCATTTTATTTTTTTTATTTTGGATAGTGCAAAGGAAAGAAATTTCATGAGCCTCTGGATCTGGCACTTTTATTCGTTGGTAGGGAGGTAATATCTTTCAAGCTTCTATAAAGATAATGAAGTTCATATTGCTGCTTTTGTATTTATTGTTTACTTGGTATTAGATTCCTGTCTACAAGTGCAGCGGCATTGATTGATTAAATTATGTTACATTTTTCTTTTGCAGCTACAATCTTCAGATTTAAGCATGAACAAGCATGCTGACTCATCCCTTTTAGACCTGCTCAAGGTGAGAGAATTGTGACATGCAGTATGTGTCAAGTTTCCATGTTGAGTATTCTAGAGCTATGTTTGGATCAGTGGTAGGGAATGGAATTGATGGGAATATAATAGAGCGGAATGGAGTGGATTAAAAATATCATTCCATAGTTGTTTGAGTAATTTATAATATTATGGATCAAATGTCCCATTCCATCATTTGGAAAAAGAACAGAGCGGAAGAAATTATTACTTTTATATCTTTATGTTAACCTTGTCTTAGAAATATAAATCTTTAGCAGTCAAGGTGTATGAGATTGGACTATGCATAATATGTTATCCAGTGTCATTGGCATCAGAAATCTTGCCATGCACCTTTGAAGTTTGAACCCTGACATTCACTATGTATCTGTGTAACAAAGGAAGCCCAACCACCATCTCTATTCTTCCACTCACCATAAACATCTTCTCTTAACTAGTCGTAGACAACAAAACCAGTATAACTAGTCCGCCATCAATAGAGCATAATCACTATTTCGGTAGGGTCACAATCAAATACTTCCATTCCCGGTGCCATCTGATTCATTATATCAGCCCTTTCTCTTCACCAAAGCTAGAACTTGTCGACATCTACATTCCGTGATACTGTGTTTAGATAGGAGTAAATTGATGAATTATTACTGATATAGAGGAAGAGAGGAATGTTCCATTGAGTGCAGCCCAATATGCCGGGTAACAGAAAAGTCTCAAATTGATGGAATGAGATGGACTGAAATCCACCACTTTCCATCCTATTTCATTATATATTTTATAATCCAAACTATGGACATTGGGTCCATTCCATTCTATCCCTTCCCATTAATTCACTCATACACTAAAGTAATTATTTGTTTTATTTTTACTGTAACATTGTTCCATTTTTATGAACAGATCTCTTTTGCCAGATCCAACACGTCTGTGGCATTTCCCTATGTTTATGCATCAGAGGATTTGCTTTTGGAAAACACATTGGTTTCAGGATTTTCTGAAGCCTGTGGAGATGATATGGGAATTGCCAATGTTGCTTTCCATGGATCCTGCTCCATGGGTGGTACAAATCATGAAGAAATCACAGCTTTGCAATCAGTACAAGTAATCAACAAATTAATGTGAAATGGTCCATTATGGAATCTTGGGTCCTGTAATGGTGTGACCTGATGCTCTTTATTTTCCCATTGGCAGGACTATTTGACAAAGAGGATGGAAGATAGTCACAGAGGGAAAACAGATTTGGTTGTGTTCTGCAATGGAGGCTCTCAAGCTGTTAAAAATGTTGACGGGGCACAATCTGAAGGTACATACACTTTTATCTGTTTTGGGTTTTGCTAGATATGAATTTGCTAAATGTTTGATTTCCCTGTGTATTTGTAGGGGAAGTTTTATCTAATGTTATCAGTTCTGTGGAGGAATCTGGTGCAAAGTATGCTGTTCTTTATGTGTCAGATCCCTCCAGGTCAATCCAGTATCCTTCTTACAGGGACCTGCAAAGGTTTCTAGCAGAAAGTACTGAATCAAACAAATCCACATCTTGTGATGAAGTCTGCCTGCTTAAATCATCTCTTTTGGAAGGAATTTTAGTGGTATGCTTCTTTGTCCAATTTTTACAAGTATGGTAGCTCGATGACTTGGGACTTGTCTTGTTTTGAATTTATTTATTTCATGATGAATGAATTCTATGGTACCACAACAATACTCTCATTGGGCCTGCTTGTGTTGATTGCTGTCTTTCTCTAAGTCCATGCCTCCAGTTTTAACAATGCAAGCATGAGAATATAATGACATTCAGTAACACATCCTGTCTTCCTGTACTATTTCAGCATTCTCAGCCTCCTGACTTTGGAGGTGTTTGACATTTATTTCATTTCCTTCCATACAAACTATGTAATTGATAAAATTTAGTTTATGTTGCAAAGTGTTGTGGGGCAGCATCCCTTGTAGAAATGCCCTTCAATCTAACATTTGAATACATGGTTAACTGTGCTATAGTTACATGAGGTATTACTTTTCAAATGTCCTATAAAGAGAACTCCTTAATTTTAGGTAAAAGATATGAGAAGATTATCTAAATAACTATCACCTTCCATTTATACTTGATATATACTTCTACAATTTACTCTGTATTTCCTTAGTTGCTAATACCTCTTCACGTTGTTCTTTCAGATGGTATGGTTATCTATGACTCTAGGTTTCAGTAGCATATTTGAACTTCTGAATAGGATCTTTAAATTTAATGCGTCAATTAGGCTTTAGTAAACCAAATATGAAATAGAAAGTTGATCTTAATTCTTAAATAGGGAAGTTTGAGTCTCTGATAGGCCCTAAATCCAGTTTAGTATGGTATGAAGTGGCTAAGATTTGCTTTTGATTTTAACTAGAGCATGAAATGTTTATCTTTTATTCCTCTCTATCTGCTCTGCTGTTTTCATATATGTATGGCCTACCATGATCTTATTTGTTTTATTATTTTGCTATTCTTTCTATGATTTTCTTTCCTTGATGACACATTTAATCAATGATCTTGTGCTATATGTAAAAGTAACATGCAATATCAAAGCATACAAAGACAAGGAGGGAGTGTAATAGGTGAGAGTTTGAGATGATGTAATCTTGAGTCTTAACCTTTTACTTTTTCATGGATGGTTACGATTGAGTTTCTTTAAGTTTAACCTTAACTAATATTGTCAAATGAGCTCCTCTCACCTTATCTGCTTCCACTTGTTACCTGCCTGAGACAACAGTGATGACTTTTCATGGTTACTTGTTAGTGCATCTGATTTCTGGCTGAGTGGGTTTTGGCGGAGGTGGCTGTCTTGTGTGATTTCTCTTATTGTTTGACAACATCAAATACCGTTACATGATTATGACATCTATGGTGTTCTGATAGGATTGCTTTCTGTGATAATCCAGGGTATAGTTTTGCTAATAATTTTGATATCGGGTCTTTGCTGCATGATGGGAATTGACACCCCAACAAGATTTGAGACGCCACAAGAGTAATGATCCGTTTGTTGAAGCTAATAATTGTTGTGATGCTTGGTCTACTGGATTAAAATATTCCTGCCGTATTATTTGCGATTTTCACGGAGGCTCTGATAAGTGTTCTGTAGTTGATGACTTATATCCAGGGACTTTTGATAATGAATATTAAAATAATTTGTATCAGTATATAAAAATAAAACTTTAATGTTAGGATTAATTTTGATCCCGCCACCACTAGTTGTAAAATTTGAAGAAATTTTAAATTGTATTGTATTTTGATTGCATATTTGTTTTATTCGTTGTGGATAATAACTGTTCATTGATGCAGTTTCAAGTTTATTTGTGATGTGTTTCGAAATGTGCTTGAAATTACAAGAAGAATGTTTAGCAAGATGGTAAAATGAGATAAAGTTTGAGATTGAAATTAAAGAAATTAAAAAGTTGAAGTTCTAAAGTTAGACAAGTGCAGGTGTAGGAATTTTCAGGGTAAGGATTTAAAGTGAGAGGAGTTAATAACAAATAAAATACATTGTAACACTTGTTATGTTTTATAGTTTGTACTGCTATATCAATGGTTACTGGTTTAATAAAGTTTGTGTCCAATAATTTCTTTCAATAAAAGTTTGTATACTTTATATCCATTTACTTCCCCTCCAATTTACAATTTTTGCAACCTATTTCCTTTCAATGTTTCCCTCTTTATCATTTACATTATTGGATTCTCTTTTCGTCTTAATAACTTCAATAGCCCCTTTTGTGGTGCTTAGTTGCTTTTGATTTTAATATTTTGCACCTTTACATTTCAAGTGTTTAATTAAATTGCATTCTTCTCTTAAATTGGTTTTAATGTCAGGTTGTTTTTTATATTTATTCCTATTTAAATGTTACTCATTTAAATGCTTTTCAAATTTACTTGTTTTACTTACATTTGTCAATTTCATGCGACTTCTCATTTCTGAATGGGTCTTTGGATTTTGCTTTATTTCAATGGCTATCTTTTAATTGTTTATATTAATTTTTTAAGTTAAATTATGTTTTGATATATTTAAAAAATGTCTAAATCAATTAGGAATTAAAGTTAATTGAACGAAAGTACAAAGCGTAACATAACTATAGCCTATATCTGTAGTGACTCTAACTATATATAGTAAATTGAGCTTGAAACTGTTTATAATTTCATTTATATAAGACTAAAGTAAATAGTTGCTTCGTAAACATGTATTTCAACTTGCTCAATCTCATAATATTACTCTCCTGATCGAATTTAGTTGTTAGTTTATGAGAATTCAAATTAGATTAAATTTTAAGACTCCTATACAGCATTTAGTATTAAACAATATAATTTCATAAAGACTGCACGTTGAAGTACAATTTGAACACAAAAATCTAAAACAAATTTCAATTTCAGTCTATAGAGCGACAAAGGAACTATATATTAAAGAGTTTTCATGAATTTTATTTGGAGATAAATACTTATGAAAAAGTAGGCATAACAACGGGGTGGAGGCGGGTTTTGCCACCCCATCCCCGTCGAAATTACAAATTAAGTCTTCGTCCCGTCCTCGTTGGGTTTCGGGTTGCTCGTCCCTACCCTGTCTCCGATTTATATTATTTTTAAAAAGATAATTACATTTATAATAAATTAATTTTACTATGTATTTTTTATATATAAATAAATATTTATAATTTTATAATTTATAACTATTATTAATTAAATACATATATTTTAATTTATTATATTTATATTAAAATATATGTATGTAAAAGAAATATTTAATCATTTTTTATTTATATATATAGAGAATATTTATAACAATATTATTATTATTATTATAACATTGTATTCAAATATTTGAATACTTATAACATTATTATTATTATAATAGTATATTCAAATATTTGATTATATATATAAGTTAATTCATTTTTAAGATGTCATTTAAAAATATGAAATATATAGTTTATAAGAAAATATTTAATAAGTTAATTTTTATTTAATTAGTTTGAAGTAATAAAAGTTTAAATTATCAATTCCTTTTAATATTTTAAAATACAATTATTTTATTAAGATAAAATTTGATATATGATAAATAAGAATAATAAGATAAAAAATTATGACATAATACAACCTAATAAATATAAATTATAAATAAAATAATATTAGTTATCACTAAGATTTATGTAAAATTTTTAGAAAAGGATAAAGAAAAAAATTAACTTTGTGTTTATCATATTGGTTAAAAAGATTAAAAAAAAAATTGATGGAAGAAATTAAGAAAATGTGAAAAATAGAAATACAAGAGAGAGAATAATTTAATAAATTAATTGATATAAAAGATTAAAAAATTAAAAAGTGGGTAGAAGAAAAATAAAAATGGTGAAATATAAAAAGATGATATTATATTTATAGAAATAGAAAATAAAATATTTTTAAAATATTAATATTTTAAAATTTAAATATAAAGTCGGGCCGAGACGAGAATGGGGTCGGGGTGGGATTGCATTATCCATCCTCGCCTCGACTTTTAAAGCGGAAAAACTCGAACCCACCCCGATCAACTCGGGTTTTTCCCGTTAAACTCGGGACGGGGATGAGTCGATCACACTGAATACGGGTTTAATTGTCATCTCTACGAAGAAGTAGTTATAGAGGTGCCTTTTGAATAAATTTTAGGAAAATAAAAAAATGATAATTTATGATTGGTTGAAGGTATATATATATATATATATATATATATATATATATATATATATATATATATATATATATATATATATATATATATATATATTTTGGAAGACTATTGGGATTTACTGGTTAATGATTGATACTTTTTACTGAATTGAGAAGTGGAATTTGAAGCCATTAATGAACCTATATTCAGAAAAAAAAAATAGTAAATTACTATTTTTGGTAACCTTTTTTTAATCAAACAATTCAGCTTCTTTAGTTTTTTGACGCCTAACAATCGGGAAGCTCCCAAAATCATGATCAGGGGTGCAAAAAGTGGTGATACCCTTAAATCTTGTATAAGAATATATTAGTAGAATCATGAATACAATTAAATTTAGGTTTACAGGGCTTATTCTATTTATTGTTATGTGTCAATAAAATAAATATTTATATTAAAAACCAATGCAATTGTGCAAAATATTTATTATTAAAAAGCTAATGAAATCGTTAAAAAATAAAATATCCATGATTATATAAACTAAAGGAATAATAGAGTGATGGTTTATGATTTGCTAACACGTAAACCCGTAATTATTTTAAGGATAACATTGATTAGAATAAATTCATAATTATTTTAAGGTCGTGATAATAAACATAAAATATCGTGTTAAGAATAATCCCAACCACAAACTCAACAAAGTGTTTTTTTTTTCTAATAATATTTTACATTTTTCTTCTAACGCAACATTACATTCTTACTTTAAACATCTCAATATTTTTTATCCACAAAATAAATAAAACTCTAATTAAGATAAAATAGGTTCGTAAGAAGCTTCTTCCATAGAGGTTTGATTTCAATCACCTTTCTTATATTAGTTTATGTTTTGGAGAAAAGTTATATCATGTTCTATACTTGCTTATTTATATCTTCCTACCTAATCATGTCATCTTAGTTAATCAACTTGTCACTATTAAATCTATAATTTAACACTCATTATGTCGTTATATTAAATTAACTTTTAATTCAAGATTTTAATGTAATTCATTTCGTTTAGCTCATAAAAAAACTTATTTAATAATATTTTATTAAAACAAATATAAGAAGGTGGCTGATTTTAATAAATATTATAATACTTATATATGTTGTGATTTTTTTAACGATTTTATACATGTTATATTTTTTATATAAAAATTATATATAGATATATTTATCTTTTATTTATGACTCATATATTTTATATATAAAACATAAAAATATAATAAAATATTAAATATTAATAACATCTCAATTACATTTTTTAAAATAAAATAATAATATAATATTTTTTCTTTTATTTTAAATAAAAATGAAAATATTTTAATAATTAATTTAAATAAATAATAATAAAATAATATTTTCAATAATATATGATAAATTTTAGTTTCATTAATTTTATTATTTTATATATTTATTATTATTATTATTAGCATTATTATTATCGAAAATAATTTCATCATCAAGTACATCATTCTTATCCCCGTATACTTGTAGATGGTTTCACGTCAGAGTAATTGATAGAACATTAAATATTGTCGATAACAAATAATTTAAATTTAGAGTGTGTTTTTTTTTTTTAAATCTTTCTGTGCAATATAATAATTCATCATTAAATTTTACGAAATTGATTAAGGTCCATTTTGTTCAGGGTTTCATATATCATATTTTTTTTTCTCTCTCCTTACAATTAGAATAAAATTAACTAATTTATATATATATATCAATTAATATGAGAAGGTATGGGTGAAGACTTAAAAAACTTTGAAAATCATGCATATTATTTATGTACAACAAGTTATTTGTATTATCCTACCTTTATAGACATCAGTAATAAAAATAAATAAAATTTTAGGACAATTAATGTGACTCACTTAAATATTACACGAAGTCAATTGGTATGTCTTAACATCGTATTTTATTCCATCCATTATAATATATAATATATTTTTATTATTTTACATGTGTTTTGTATTTCGATATTGAATTTAAAATTTAATATTATTCAATTGACTATCTAAAACACTCATATATGTATACATATTATTAAATAGAGGAGGAAAAAAAAATCTCTATATAAATACTAAACATTAAATATCATAAATTTGATTAAAAAAATGAAGTTTAAATATAATCTTAAAAAAATCATAACAAATTATATATATGAAGTTGAGATTGGACTTGTCAACATGTAATATAAAATAAATATAGCAGTTCAGTTGACGAAGGAATTCAGGACTACTTCCTGTGATTTTATGTTAGATTTTCTTTTATGTCACAATATATTTTTATTTTTCTTTATACAAGTAA